TACTAAATTTTGACCCTGAAATATTTGGTAATACCAATGTTCACTTTGTCTGGTTTTGTTGCAGCATGCCCCATATATAGTTATTATAAGGAGGCGTTTTAAGATTTTACACATATTAATTACTCTTTTCAAATCATTGGATAATAAGTGAGAGTGTTTTACTTGGGGAAGAGGGACACCCTAAAACACATAACAATATTTGTATCTTACATATATATATATGTAACACAAGACAAGATTGATTCATGAAAATGTTTGGGTTTTTTACTTTTATGAATATCCACCCAAGCAGTAAAGCTCATTGTGTGATGTCAAGCAAAGAACATATTAGAGATATGTGTAACATGTCTATCCAGTAATGAAATGAAATATTGCCAGTTCTTAGAGATACCATTAAAAAAATAAACAAAGTTTATCATCCTGTGGGTTTCCAATTTACTATACCACTGGAAAACTTGCTGGCCAAGACCTCCCTCATTTCATGGCCCATATGGTTCCAAAATACAAAGAAAGTTATGAAAATGAATGTTGATCAAAAAAACATAATAGAGCAACTCCTGAGCAAGTAGAATAACTAAAAAAGTTTTGCAACCAAACTAGGACAATATTATTGCAGAAAGAAGTAAAGTGGTTGCAAAATTACACAATGAAATGTTTTTTGGATACACTACTATTGAACCAAAACAAACTATTTCAAATGAAAATTTCTTATCATTAAAACCTTCAATTTGAACAGAATTTGGTGAAACATTACAAGAAATTATCCAGAAAATGGAGGAAGGAATTGGTTGTCATGACTTTTGTATTTCTCTGACAAACAGGAAAAGAAAATAAGTTAATCAATGAGAGAGAGAAAAGGAAGAATTATGGAGAAACCTTCCTTGATGTAGATGAGCTAGAAAAGGGAGTGAAAAAAGATAATATTGTTTTTGTACTGCTTCCTGCAAAAATGATGAGGCAAAAACAGTGGAGAAGAAAGACCACTTAATAAAGATGGTAAGTTTATTGGCACCATGGAAAATGAAAGGATTGCTGAAAAACTAAGAGATCCTGAGGCTTACTATCGAAAATGGAATAAAACTCCCCGAGTTGAATTAGAAAACCAACTTAATAAGAATAAAAGAGAGAAAGTTTACTGATGGTTGGTTGTGGAATACTATTGTGCCTTCTAGTTATTAAAATAGTGAAGATTAAGAAACATAAGAATTAATTATGTCATCTTACACTTTTTTATTTAGTATAAAAATTATTTAATTACATTTTGTACTGGCTTGGGACAAGTGATGTCTTTAAACTCATCCTTTACAAATGGGTGAATATTATTACAAAGGTATTCTTATCTTTTGTAATCCAAGGGAGGTGGTGTTAACACTAAAATAAATAAAGCTCTAATTTCTTCAAAAATATATGTTTTCTTGGTTTCCAATAAATTGAACTCAACAAAAGGTCCATTAGCAACTTCTTGAACTTTCACTGTACCAAAATTAGATGTTTCAAAAAGAAAATTCTGATACTTTTGTATACTTGGTAATTCTTAAAATAAATTCCCAAAATAGCTTTAATATCTAAGTATTGAAAACCTTTTCCACCTTCATAACATTGGGCTTTATTCAATCCTGCTCAACTAGACTTTTTTACCACCTCAACCACATGATCTAGACAATTTACTCTGGTTCTTCTATAGAGTTTCTTAATCATACCAAAATTACCATCACATTTGAATTTAGTATGTCCAGGAATCATGAAATTCAATTCAATGCTTTCATAACAGCCACAAATTACTAAATATAAATAAAACCAAATAGTGGTGTTATTTTATTTTGTCCGCCAGCATTATCACAAGTAATCTTTAAATATTTTTCACCTTTATTTAATTTCTTAATTCCATCACAAATCATACTGCAAGCATGTAAATTCAATTACAGCTCGGGTTGTGTCCAATAAAATATATAAGATAAAATAAAATAAAAGTCCAATATATAAAT